GGTGAAAAGCACTTGTGTTAATGTGTCGGGGAGTGATGAAATTCTGGCCATAAGAATTTTTGAGTAAGTTTCAGTTCTGTCATCTGGGGGGTAATTACTGAGACAAAGCAAAATCTGTCCTTGCTCTTTGAACTGTGTTCTTCTGGCGAGAGCTCATCCCATTGATTCAGACGAAGTTTGAGGGGAGGAAAAACCAAAAAGTTGGATTATGGTTTTTGGAGGAAAGGACGAAATTTTAGAAGCATAGGTATAATTTATTTACTTTTGAGAAATTCAGGTGTTTGTTTCTCCTGGAGTTTTCTAACTCAGTTTCAATACAAATTACTTTGTTCTGTCACATTTCATAAATGCTTTTTTTAGCTTCATGTGCCAGTTTGTGGTACTTGAATTTTGAGAGGTGTCCTGATGTAATGTCACTGGGTAATGTTTAAGGCAGTGCAGCACTAGGCTGTGCCTCTTTCACAGATGTGCAGGGGCTCTGTGATTTGTTTTCAGTGTAAGTAGCTTTAGGGTGTGCTTTTGAGCTCCCAGTATGGACACTGGAGAGTGGAAAGAATCAGATGCTGAAACTGCTGTGTGTTCACAGAAACGGGTTCCGGCACTGGGACGTTACTGGGCTGCCTGAGGAGAATAATGCTGCACTGACCATGTTGCTGGGTTTGGCTGTGTGCAGGTCTGCACAAATCCTGCTTGTGTTAATGCTGGGATACCTGTAAAAGCCAGGTGGAGTTTCACTGTGTCAAATGCCTGACTTTCTGAAATGATCAACCATGTATCTCTGCAGGTTGAAAGTTTGTTCTGATTCCCCTTTTCTTCTTCCTGATATTGATCCTTTGTGCTGCTGTTCAGCAACAGGTCTGCAGCAGTTTGAGAATTGTTTCTAACAACTGTTTTCAGTGCATTTCATGTACTCTTTCCTCATTGTTTACTAAAAAGCAAGCAGTGCGTAAATGGTTTTAGTCCACATGCTCTCCTGCTGGTTTCATTACAGGACCAGAGGGAAGAGAAAGTTTTCGGTTGTTCCCCTGCAAAGCCCCATCTTTCTTTCCTCCCCCAGGACAAAGCAAGCAGCTCTGTGTGTGTGGCAGTGCCATGTGAGTGTTGTGGATTTCCTGTTGTGTGGATGAGTAATTGAGCTTTGCTTTCCCAGAGTCCTGAACAGCAGCATGACTGGCACAGAGCGGGAGCTGGCATTAACCCTTACAAATGGGTTCCATTGGATACTGTTCACACAGCTCCTGTGGGGTGGGTGATGTGGCTGATGGTCCCAATTGCCTCCTTGTTCCTTGGCACTCACTCACTAGAAGGAAAGCTGTAGCTGCTCAAGCCTGCAGGGATGTTTTTGCCACACACATTGTCCCACTTCCATCTGGGACTGCACGCTCCATGGTGGACCTGCAAACCTGTGTTTAAAACCACCTTCTGCAAGGACAATTCCTCTCTTCTCCTTCCCCAGAGTGTTTGGGTTTGGGCTCCAGGAGACCCACATTGCTACTGTGCTTGGCTTCTAGCCTGTTATGCTAAATTTACCCTTTAATTATAGCTAAGCTGTGTACTGGAGTATATTTTTGAGCAAGGAAAGAGTGTCTGGGCCTTGGGGGTGTAAGCCAGCCTTGTGTTTGAGCAGCAAGTCTTGCCATAAGGAAGCTAAATGACTATAAGCATTCTTTTTAGTATTTTGCTGAGATTAGCACTTGGCTTAACTCATTCCGTGTTTCCATGGCGACTCCATAGTAACTGTTTTAGGAGCTCTGAAGTTTATTCAGGCGTTTCCAGGCTGACTTTATGAAAGTTTTCTTTTCTTCTGAGCTAATGGTGTGGCTGTCATTGACTCCCATTAGAATGGCTGCCAGATTGGTCCCATGTGGTACAATTCAGACTGATGTGGGGCAGAGTTATCCCAACCACCCATTTTTAACATGCCCTGTGGGGCTGTGCTGAAACCTTTTGTTTTAAGCAACATCATTAATATTGTTTGCTTGGTCTGGGACTGGCTGATTGATACAGCACTGCTTGGTAAAAGCCTTCTGTCTCTTAAGCTAATATGCTCTTTTCTGTCTGTGCTGTTTCCATCTCTTCTAAATAATGTCTGTCCTTGGATTGGGTTTTCCCTCAGGTGCTCTGCCTTACTTTCCATCCTGGTGTTGCCCTGTGAGGGGCATATGCGGGACGAATGTAGGGACTCCTTTCTGTTCTGAGCTTTGATGAACTTGTAGGAATATTGTGGGGAACGAACCTGCTGCTACTTTGATAGGGGGGGGAATACATTCTAAAGGTTGGTCTTGGAATAATAAGCTATAATGAAGGAGCTATAATTTCTCGTGATGACTCGCTGATAGCCTTGTCCACTGTCTCCTTGTTAACCTGGGTACCAAACTCAGCAACCAGTGTTGCCCCTATCTCACCAAAGATAGATATGTTTCTCCCACAATAAAATGCTTATCAATACAGTACCTCTTTCTTGAGGTAACTGGTGCATGTTTAGCTGGTGTACTCAAGACACTTATCTGAATTTCCCCATTGTAGCTGTGAGCTCCTTTTCTCTGCAGGTCTTTGACTGCAAGGCTGTGGGAGGCAGATGAGCACCAGACTCTTCAGATTCTCTGTTTTGCCTTGAGATGGGGTTTGGAGGGAGAACTGCACGAGGAGGAAGTAGAGAGAGGGTTGTTACAATTTTGAAATCTTGTTTGGCCCTTGCAAAGCGGGGAGGGAAGGTTTGTGAATAACTTTTACTGGGTGCAGCTCTAACAAAGGGGAAAATCAACATGGCCTCAAGCCTCCAAGTTGCGTGTTAAGGGAGCTGACCTGCTCACCCGGGCCTGGAGAGGTGCCCCTGTTCTGGCCAGGGTCTGTATGAAATGGCTGTACCATTTTTGGGTGTTGGGCCCTTGGTGCATTGAACTGCTGTCTGTGTAGAAATGAGATCATGTCTTGTCTTCTCTTGCACAACAAAAGCCAGGAGCCAGGATACCCCAGGGATGAGCGAACAGGTTACGCAGTGATTCTGACATGTCAGGTATTTCACAGAGCTTGCTGCCAGTTTAGGAACATTTGGATCTTAGAGACCCTTTTCCAGTGGCATCCGTTAGAGAAAGAAAAAAAAGAGAGAATGAAAAATAAATCTACTGTATTACAGACACAATGAGGTCTGGATCAAAGTGGGATGGAGCTTGAAAGGTGATGTTTTGAATTTTGCTGGTCAGAGGGGTTGTGACTCGGATGGCATGGGTAAACAATGAGGAGAGAGACAGTCCCTCTGGGAGTCAGTGTCTGACTTCACAAGCCAGCAGTTATTAAAAGATGAATAGAGGAGAAGTGAACCGTGCTCTCTGGCTGGTAGCGTGGCTTATTTTCTTCTTTCTTTTCTCCCTTTCTCTCAAAGATCAAAGGCCTAATTTTAGAACAAGCCCTATTTATGGGCTGCTCAGCTACTCTGTCTGCTTTACTCTTGTTCTAGAATAGTGGAACATAAATGGAGCTGGCGGGATCTCCCAGTGTCCAGAGCTCATCCCTGATGCAACGCAGGAAGGGGGGGTGTAAAAAAAAAAAAAAAAAAAGAAAAAGACCTTTCCTAGCAGAGGTGTTCTGTATGATTTGTCTCTGTAGAGGGAGTTCCCTTCCCCTCCCTCAGCTCTTTCCGTCTTTCCTTGTGATCAGAGGCTGAAAAAATGTGACCTGTGAGTGCTCCTGATGTTCAGCAGAGCTAACTCCTCCTGATCTGTGCCTTGACGTGCCAGAGCTCCCAGGACAGGGCACAGTCCTCTTCCCAAGGCTGGTGCTGAGGATGGAGTTGAGTGTTGTGTTGTGTGTGGATTACACTCCTGTATGTGCACCCACCATGGGGATCAGTTGTACTTCTCTTTTACAATAATAGGAGATTGTTGGGTCCACTCTAGGCTGTGAATTGATGTAGTCAGACATCCTTTTCTGCTGACTGACTGCCTCTGCCCCGCTCTGCATCTCCAGACCTAATTTTCTACTGCTCAGTAGTTCTTTGTGTCCCCTCACATTATTTGGCACTCCCCTCCCCCTTTCCATTCCCTTTCCTCCCCCTGCTCTTTTTCTAATCTTATCAAAATAATTTTTAATTGTTAACTTGTTCTGTACAATTTTGGGTGACAGTTGTCTGCCAGTGCAGTAAGTGTGCTCAGTCCAGCTGAGCAGCAATTGGGGGAAAACACACCGTGTGTAGGTGCAGTTTGGGAGTGAGCCTCTAATTGCCCCATGAGAATGCCTTTTGGGATTTTTTCTCTCTCTCTCCTTTGTGTCAGCATTTCACCCAGTTCCCTTTGGATGAGGTTTCCATAGTTGATATCACTTGATACAATGACAAAATCCTGGAAACACTTGTGTATGCTGGATGAACTTTTGAGAGCAATGGTTAAAGACTGTGTCAAATTCTGGTGGTGTGAGGAAGCTGCTCTCACTGCAGGCGCTCTGTGCTGCCAGTTAAAGGCACCTCTCCAGTGAGGCAGTGTGATACCCACGCTGCTGTCTGCCAGGTCAGTCTGCCCCCTGCCCAGCTTTTGCAGTACTGAGGATCTTCATTGGTCTGAAACTTTGTCTTCAGGAGGGGTGGAGAATAAGTAACCAATTCCCTCTGTGCTGGGAATTGAACCCAGCTGGGGGCAGTGGTCTGTGTGTCTCTGCTTCTTTACAGCTGAAGCCTAATTGGTAAAAAGCTGCAGATAAGGTTGCACTGTACAGAACTGGAGTGGAGTTCATTCATGCAGAAGAGCCTGTCTCGCAAATGGGACTGCTGAGCTGAGGGAAGAAACCTCCTCAAATGCTGTGTAACTCCTGATTCCCGGCAGTGCTTTGCTAGAGGCTGCTGTGGTGGGAGCCCGGCAGCCCCCCTGAGTGAAGTGGGGCTGCTGCATAGCAACTGCATTGCCAAGTGGTAACAATTCCCAAGTGGGGCAGTAACAAAATCGATTTTTCTCCCCTTCAGCTTGGCAGCTCTCCAGGTGCCTGCTCTGGCACAATGAAGTGTGTAGCTGGGGAGGGAGGGACTTTGGGTTGATGGGGGGGGTGATACAGGGAGGCAGAAGTTTAACCACTGAACCGATCACACTGGATGGATTTATTTCTGGACTCAGTTTCCCAGGAACTCCACTGTTCCACCCTGGGGGAAATGGCTCAGCTGAAGTCCCTCTAGCTCCAGCTTCGTGAATAAAGACCTGTGGCATTGGAGTTAATCACAGCAGCTCTGTCACTACTGACTCATCCATCTGCTCCAAGACAATGTTTGCCGTCCACTTGCTGGCTTTCCATTTCACAAAGCTAAAAGAGGATCAAATAAAAAAGGTAAGATGCTGCGTTAGCTGATTCCTGTTTTGAGAACTGTTACCCAGACAGGGAGGGTTTTGCAGTATGTAATGCTTTCCAGATAATGGCATTATCTACTAAAGCCATTCAGCCAGATGGGGTAAGAAGTATTTAAACCCTAAACCACCTGACGAGTGTGAAAATAGGTCTGGTTTGTGCTTTCCCCTGCAGAGTTGTAAGTGCTTCTCCAGTAATGGAGCAAATGATGCTCAGTAAGGAGAAGTGCTTAAACTTTCTCTGGCGTGGGGTAGTGTAGTTCAGAGGGCAGAAAGGAACCTCTTGCTGAGTTGCTTTGCAAGTGTAGCAGGAAGGATGGGATTTCTCAAGCTGAGTAGCAATCAAGAGTCAGTCACATTGTAGCAGGCATAGGGAAGACTGGAGTCTTCGGGCCAGGTCTGCTGGGACTCAGGAGACATTTCCAACTAGCATAGGTGTGAGTGGAGTGCCTGTGTCTCCTCTCTGGTTGTACAAACTTGGCTAATCACTGATATTTTTAGATGTGACCTTTAATTACAGTTGGAAAAGCTTGAGATGGTCCAGATATGAAGCCATCAGAGTGAGTTGCCTAATGCTGCTCTTTTCTAATCTACTTTCATGGCCACGCTGGAATGGATTTTGGGCTCAGGTCCATCCTGAGACCACGTGGGACTTGTAAGCTTCATGGGTCAGAGGTCCTCTGTTTTCTAGACATGTCCCCTGCAGGTCCTCTGTGTTCCTGGTGTCTCCCTTAAGTGCTGCCACTGCTGCCAGGCTCTGTCCTGGTTTTCCAGCCAGCTGGAGGTGGGGCTGTCTGCAGATGCGTGGTGGGAGATCCAAGGTCCTGATGCATGGATCCACTTGCACCACTGAGCTCACCAGCAAAGCCAGCAACACTGGCTTCTCTCTGTGCCCTAAATGTGCAGTGGCTTCTTCTTAGGAGGGCTTCTTCCTCTGATTCTGCTTTGGAGAGAGGCATTCCAAGAAAGGCACGGGTATCTCAACAGTCAGATTCTGTCTTTGACTCAGTCATAGCCCTTTTATCCCTAGGATTTAACGTGATCAGAAAAGGGCCCCACTGCCCCTTTCTTGTGTGTAGGAGCTGATCTAAAATCTCTAATCCAGACAGTGCTATTTCTTCTTACTTTTTACTAAGAGAAGAGACCCTGTGGAGCAGTGCTTGGGTGGAGCAGGCTCTTCAGAGAAACATCCAGAGTGGAGCTGAGGGAGGACTTCCCTGAAGTGAGGACAGTGGAGAGGAGAGGGCAGAGGAATTCTGGCAAAACCATGAATGTGAGTCTTTCTGCTAGGTGCAGAGTAGCCCTTCCTGAAAGCAAGAAGCCACATGCTCCTTAGACTTCTCCTTCAAGGAGCCTAGGGTAGGCTGTAGGGAACAGAGTTGATTTCTCCCTCATTAGAAAGAAGGATTGCCTTCCCACCTCTCCCTCCCCAGGCTTATTTACTCTGTGGTGGCAAAATAAGGAGTCCTTGTGCCATGAAAACAGTGCTGTTTTTCCATAGTTCAGGCAAGGCTCTGTTCTTGTACCATGGGAGGGAGGCAGCGAGTTTGGTGTTGCACAGCCTGGCCATTCCTGTGTTTACAAGCCAATGGATCGTGAGCAGGGCCTTGCTCTGGCTGTAAATCAGGCTGGCTTTCCTGAGCTCTGCCTTATCTAGTTCCTTGGAGAGGACTATCTGCTCCTATAGCTGTAGGTAAACAGGGTGGGGAATGCAATTTCTCTGGGGAGCAGGGAGCCTGGGCATGTTCTCTGCAAACAGACGTGGCAATTTTTATTACTCTTGAGTTTTTTTCCACAGGGACTTCAGTCACAAAGTTATTTGGGTCTGTGTCAGTGTGTGAGTGCTGTATGTCTCCAGGCATTGTACTTTCTCCAAAAAAGCAGTGTGGGTGCGTGGGCTGAGGTGATGGATCCCACACAGTGGTGGGGCCTCAAAATACCCTTGGAGGAAATCAAGTGCATGTGCAAACCAGGGCTACAAAGACAAATCTGATAATGGCCTTTTCAAGGCACAGTTGTATCCAAAGGCAGCTGCTGCTCTTGGACAATTGCATTTTGTAGTTTAGCACTTCCTCCTTTGTGTGTGTTAGGTAAGTGCTGGAGTGATTTTCAGGGTCCTGGTTCTTTCAGGTGGGTCATTGCTGACCATCAGTTTCAAATGGGACTGTGAATAGGTAACTCGTTTGTGCCCCATTAAAATAGGTGGCCAGTCTAAATTGCAGCAGAGGCCAATTTATCTGCAACCTGCATTCCCCTCTGTTTAAACAATGCAGGTTTTTTTTAGTTCTGCCTTGTTGCTGAAGCAACTTGATTTGTGCCTGTTCTTCCAGCCCTCCAGACCTCTCTCAATGGGACTGAAGAAATGCTCTGAAGAGTTAAAGCAATATAAAAACATAGCCCATGGTGCAAGAGCTGCGTGTCTGTGCTAGCAAAGCGCTGGGGACTGTCCCCCCTCTCTCCCCTGCCCACTGCCCCTGGGCCTGAGTCTCATATTGCGGGGAGTGGGATGTGAACAGGAATTACCCTTCAGGGGACATCCAGCTGTTTGGAGGACACAATTATTATGCCTGCATCATGTTCATAAAGCACCAAACTCTGGCTCCCCAGTGGAAAAGCTTCTGGATGTTGATAGATTGTTATTTTGCTGTGTTAATCCTCTGTTGTACCCAGTTTCTAAGCCACATTACTTACAGCCTTCCAGGTAAATGTCAGTCCCAATAGCATGTGATCCTGAAGCAGAAAACATGTAATTTTGCCCTGATGAAGCTGTACATAAACACTGATTAGCTTTTCTACCAGTTTATCAGAATGAGCTACTTCGTAGATGCTTTTGATTCCCTTTAAATTCAAGTGCCTTTTGTTTCGATGTATGCTGTGAGTTACAGACCCTTAAGAAGGGGTATTGATTGCACCCAAAAATGTGTTTTAGATGTAATCCTAGAATCACAAGAGAATGGAGGCTACAGCTGGAATGAGAAAAAGCCTTTGAGCTCCAGCCTGGCATTTCAACAAAGTTAATTGGCTGTGGAGTGAAGCAGTGGCTGAATAGATGTTTCTGGGTTGTGGCTGACACGCTTGGGTACTGATGGCATTTTCTGGACCTGCCTCAGAGAGGTCAGATTCTCAGCAGCTCAAGATACTTTGCAGTTCTAGTTCATGACATGTATAGGAGGAGAGGATGGTGTAAAAGCAACTAGTCAGGGTCTCAGGAAAGTCTCATGGGCTTATGTAGGTTGGCAAGTTACTGAGCCATAAGAAAAGATGGCCAACTTTTGGAGAGTAATTCAATAAGGCTGCATTAAACGTTGTTCAGACAAAAGTTTTAGAAGAGTAAATGTTCTGCTGATGCCCTGGAGCTTGCTTGCACTGACAGTCATGGTGCTGAGGTCAAAAATGAACTGAACAACTGGGAGTTGCTGAGCACTGAGGAGCCTGGCTCCTCCCGAGTGACACCTTTGCTGTTTGCAGGTTGACAGGTACCTGTATCCCCTGCGGCTCTCCGACGATGTCCTGCTGGATGTGATGGCTCGTTTCCAGGCTGAGATGGTGAAGGGGCTGGGCCGGGACACGAACTCCACGGCGACAGTGAAAATGCTGCCGTCGTTCGTGCGCTCGCTCCCCGACGGCTCCGGTGAGTTCCCCCTGCCCCGGCTCCGCAGGGCTGGGCCAGGAACGTGATGCTGCTGCCAATCTTCCAGGACAGCACAGCAGAGGCACAGGGCCCCCAGTGCCTTTGGGTGTCTCACTGAGAAAGCAGGTGTATAGTGAGAAGATAACAGCCTCTGGCAGGGGGTTTTTTCCTTGCAGCAGGTGGATCTTGACCCAGTGCTGCTTGTTTGAGGAAAGGACCTCGTAAGTGCTCCAAAACAGCCCGTCCCATCTGTTCCTGGTGCAGGCCTTGCTGCAGGAGTTGTGGCTGGACATGGCAAGGGCAGCCTCTACAGCCCAGAGCCTGCAGTGCAGTGTGCTGCTGGTGTGGGATGTGGCCTGGCCTTCTTGGAGCTACAGGGAGGGCAGGATGCTGCAGAGAAACCCCACAAACTGCCACATGACAGCAACGGTTGTGTTCTCAGACCTGTGATCCCCTCTTGACTCCTGACAGCAAACCCTACTCTGCTTTTTCTAATGCTCCAAAAAGTGATCCCCTCCTGCCTTTCCTTGCCTTCTGCACTGGGAAAATCTGCTTCTGGATGGGGTCTACCAGGAAACCACCTGCTCTGTTTCTTCAGCTGGATCCCTTTTACCAGTTGCTCCTGAGACTTAAACAGAGAGGGAGGAAGTGCAATGATGTCCTCTGGGAGGATGTGAGGTCAGGTAGAATTTAAAAGCCTATCTTGTTTAGAGGATCCAAAATAACTCTCCTGGCTCAGAGCTGGCTCCTGGCAGTGCAGGCTGACAGAAAATTAAGTTTTTCCCAGGTTTAACCAAGTGAATTGGTATATGCCAATGACTTGGCATATACCAGCTGTGCAGAAACCTGAAGAGAAGTGTTAGCTTTGTACCTCATTTCCACAGGACTTTATTCCTTCTGAAGTTAATTTCCCTGCAGTTAAATGAGAAGTAATGACTTTAATGGCATAAAGGGAATATTTGGAGGGAAGTCCCTTGAAATGAGGCATTTCTGAGAGAAACTATATACACTGCCTGGATGGAAATGGGCACTCTTCCTTTTGCTGCTACCTTCATCAAAGAGGAAGAAGTACTTTCTTAACCCCTGCAGTTTCAGTGACCATCACTGGTCCCGAGGTCTCATGTGGCACTGACACTGTCCTGAAACAGCAGGGAGCCCCTGAGGTCAGGAGACTTGGAAAATTGCATGTAGTGTCAACACTGTTGCAAGACTTTGTGTTCCACAAGGCCAACTTGGGACAGTGTCCCCCTGGCCTGTGTCAAGGACATGCTGCAGCATCAAGCTGGGTTGTATCTTACTGACACACTGCCTACCTTAAATATCATATTGGCTTTTCTATTTTTGCTCTCTTGAAAAATCCTGGTTGGTTATTTTACTTCCAGACAAAACTTGCAGCAGGTTTAAGCACCTCAGACTTGGATGGATTTTTCCCATTTGTAATAGCAATGAGCCTTCAGATTTTTCTGAGTGATCCAATTTGCCTCCTCACCTTAGTGATAGCTGCCCATGGTATTACAGGTAGAATTTCCTGCTTCTTTCCCTTTCAGGGCCAAATTTGATAAAATTTAGTCAGATGTTTCAAAGATCATGCAAGATTAGGCACATGCCATTGCATTTTCCTTTTGGGAAGGGCCTTCTCCTGTGTGTGGGATAAATAATTTTTTTATTGTAGCTGTGAGGCCAACCTGTCCTTCCATCTGAGGTCTCCTGCTGGAGAAGCATGTGTTTGAGCTAAGACTGTGAAACAAAATGGTACTTTTACAGAAACACCTAAAGGCATTTGAAAAGGATTGTATTGGTTGCCTTTGGGTGGCAAATTAGTCTTGCCCCACTTGGAAGTTGACTTCTGCACTAAGGCTGAGTCTTAATAGGTGACTGCAAATCCCGCATCCTTTACTGGTTGTAGGTAATGCTCTCACACTGATTTTCCCACATTTCAGTGAGGGATTTGCAGCCTCTCTGTGCTCTGCTTGGATTTGCACTCACTTTGGGTCTTTCTTGCTGAGAAGCTTATCCTTCTGCAGCTTGAAAACATCCTGCTGTGGAAGGAGCAGGGTGGACAAACCCAGGCTGCTAAATAAAAGTTGAATTAGCTGTCAAATAACAAGCTAACAGGAGGGAGTTGGCACCCTGGCTTGGGGCTTCCAGCTCTCAGCCATCCTGGTGATGTTGCTGGGCCCATGGGATAAGGATCTGCTGTGGTGGGGTAGGAGAGCCGGAGGTGAGGGAGGGCCCTGGGCTGTGCCTTCAGTGTGGCATCTGAGCTGGGCCTTGTGGCCGTCACTGGTGATGGGGCCTGTTTGTGTTGCAGAGAAGGGGGACTTCCTTGCCGTCGACCTGGGTGGCTCCCAGTTCCGTGCCCACCAGGTGAAGGTGTTTGATGATGGGAGGCAGAGCAGCCAGCTGGAGAGCAAGTTCTACCCCACACCCAAGGAGGTCACCCAGGGGAACGGCGCCGAGGTAGGGCACTGCTGTGGGGCTGCTCTGCTTGAGCACCTGCCCGCAGGACACAGCCTGACCCTGTCCACTCCTTTCTTTGATTTTTCTTTCCAGCTCTTTGATTACGTTGCTGACTGTCTGTTAGACTTTATGGAGACCAAAAACCTGAAGCATAAGAAGCTACCTCTTGGCTTTACGTTTTCTTTTCCATGCAAACAGACCAAATTGGAAGAGGTAGGATGCATTAAAAAATACTGTTGGCAAGCTGAGCTCCTTGCAGGATCTGTAGAAGCTGATGAATGGATGTGTTACCCTGGGATTTTTTTGTGGGATTGTGTTTACGTTGCCCTCTGAAGAAGGCATGGATTAGCATTAGCATTTAACTAGACTACCTTTCAAACACTCATTTCTGATCTCAGGGCAACAAGATCTTTAAGCTAAACTATTCTATTACTTAATCACTACCTAATTCCACAGGAACCATGTACCCTTTTATGAAGACTATTAGACTGTAAAACACATAGTTTTGTGTCCTGAGGCATCTTCATTTTTTTAACCACTCTCAATTTTTTATTTACAGTTGATTCTAAATAGGAAAGACCTGTAGCTGAGCTGTTTGGGAGACCTCATGGGGAAATGAAGGGCTGTTTGCAATTATTTTGTGTTCTCTCATTCTAGCCTCTCTTATTCCTAGGAATCTGTGCTTTGGGTCCCAGTCCTGCCAATGCTTTGTGCTTAATGCTATTAGTTTGTGATGAGCATCAGGAAAGCTGCACATGCTTTACACAAAGGACAGGGAGAAGCATTTGCAGGATTGGGGCTTTATGACTGTGGCTATTTAGTTGTGTTGTTACTGACAGGCACCCCAAGGTAAGACGCTGACCCAGTTTTAATGTGTGGAGAGACACAGTGGGCTTCTCCACAGCCTTTGGTCTCAGCTGGCTTTGTGGCAGGTTTGTGTGCTAAAGCTGGAGCTTTTGGGTCACCACACTGTTACTTTTCAGGGGGTTCTTCTTGCCTGGACGAAGCACTTCAAGGTCCGAGGGGTTCAGGACACAGACGTTGTCACCTCCCTGCGCAGGGCCCTGCAGAAGCATAAGGCAAGTTTTGTACCTGCAGGAGCTGAACCTGTGTGGCCTCAGAATGTTCTCCTGGGAGATCAGCTCTTGGTGTGTGGGTCCTTTGGGAGCTGTCAGGCATCCTTCAAGGGACAGCCGGTAACAAGTGTCCAACATGGCTGTATATTTAGTAGATCTGACTCTCCCTCGGAGCTGGAAGTAACAGGCTGCCCCAGTACCAGTGAGGGCACTGCACACTAATAAACCAGACTGGGACAGCATGGCCCCACTGTCTGAGCTAACAGGCATCTGTTGTGAAACTACTGGGTGAGATATAAAACACTCAGTAGTTTCACACGCTGTGTTTCGCAGCCTGGCTTGTGGGATGAAGGTTGGTAGGGGAAACTATAATCTGAGATTAGCCTAACTCTACCAGGCCTTGCCTGTCCACCTCAGTCTGTGGGATGGAGCCATTGATTGTAATTTTTAAGATCAGCAGTAAGACATGGTTAAATCTGCCCTTGAACTAGCGTATACTTTAAATAACATTGTGTTTTAATATTCTGGAAAGCCTTGTCGTTCATGTTTGGTGCTATTGGTAACACCATCTAAGAAATAAAAAGCATCTTTCTGTGTCTCCATGGCTTTGTAGTAGAGGAGGAAATTCTGTTTTCTCATGTGGTAAAAATCCAGCCTTGATTTTGGTTCACTTCTTTTTCTGCATCAGCCTCGTAGTTCAACAGTAACAAAGAATCTGAGACTTCTGGGTGAAATGTGGCCTCCTGCTAAGTGCTGGCATCTGAGTTACACCAGTCCTTTGATAAGTGTGAAAGGAAAACTGCACAGCCTTGATGGAAAGGCTTTTTACCTGAGTGTGATATTGGTGATATTGGCCATAGCTGCATTCATGTGTGTATGTTTTCTGTCCCATTTGGTGGGATCTGCTCAGGGGGTCAGGGATTATCCTTTCACTCAGCCCCATAAGCACAGGATCACAACATTCAAACCAATAACATGTTGCTTTTCTGGCAAATGAGGTTGTACTGGGGAAAAACAAATTCTTCAAACAAAAACCCTGGCTGACCAAGCACTTGAGAATTCAGAGGTTTTTGTTATTTTACAGGGCTATGGGGATAATGTTATAAAAGGAAGTAGTGTGTCTCTCTACTAAGGAACTTTCCTGAACCAGGCCTCCGAAGTGCAGCCCAGGGAGAATGTCTGCGTGCTGGTGCTTTAACACACAGCTTTTTTCCCTGTTAATCACCTCTTTTTGTGCTATTAGGACATAGATGTTGATGTTTTGGCACTGGTCAATGACACTGTGGGAACCATGATGACCTGTGGATATGATGACCAGCACTGTGAAGTTGGAGTCATAATTGGTAATTTTTTTCTGTTCACTGAGTAGGGTTTTTTTGCCCTCAGTTGTTGAATTCTGACAAATCTGGAGTAGAAGGGAGTTTCCCAGTGCAGGAAAGAGCAGAAAGAAAATGGAAAAAACAATGGTTAGATTTTTCAAGCCTGGCTGCCTTCTGTAAAGCAGCTGTTTTTATGCTGATCACATTGCCATCAAATGCCACAGTCCCCATTTTGTCTGGGTTCAGTTGTGACCAGCATACTAAACTTTTCTGCTGACTGTATAGAAAATTACTGTGTGTCTGTCCAGAGAAAGCAATTCCTCTCACGTCTGGTAGTTAGAATCAGTTACACTTTCTGTAGTTTCTTCATTTTGTGCACTAGGATGGTTTTTTTAAGGCACATGGAAATACATTTGAAAAAGAAAAAAAAGTTTTTAAACAAATCAAGCCTTGGAATAATTTCCCTGTTTTTTCTCTCACTGTGAAATGATGATTTCACAAGTGCAGGTGGCCTGTATTAGCATAAGGTACCTCAGGGTTTTGTGTTTGTACTTTCTTCCAAAGGCAATATACTGACTTATTCCCAAACATGTGGACTTAAAATGAGCAAAAAGCAAACCTGGAACAAAGAGTGATTCATCTGCACTGTCTCTGACACCCCCAGGCACCGGCACCAACGCCTGTTACATGGAGGAGATGCGGCACATCGACCTGGTGGAAGGGGACGAGGGCAGGATGTGCATTAACACGGAGTGGGGGGCCTTTGGAGATGACGGTGCTCTGGACGATCTCCGCACGGAGTTCGATCGGGAGCTCGATCTGGGATCTCTCAATCCTGGGAAACAACTGTAAGTGATTCCCTGACTGACTTGCCGTCCAAGTGCATTTCCAGACTATGCCAAGAGCCCCTTTGGACCAGGAATTGTTTCAGTGAACCTGAGTTAACTTGGTCCTGGTCCTGTCTTATCCAGGCCTTTCCAAGAAGGGTGGGTACCTTTCACACCTCTCTGCTTCAGGCCAAGGGATTGCTGCTGTGATGGCTCATGTGTTGTTAAAAATAGGTGATTGCTCTGGTATAATGGTGTGGAGGGCTAAAGAGAGGAGCTGGTGAAGACCTGTAATCCCTCCTGTGCCCCATTCCAGGTTTGAGAAGATGATCAGCAGCCTGTATTTGGGAGAACTTGTAAGACTCATTCTCCTAAAAATGACAAAGGAAGGTCTACTCTTCAATGGGAAAGTATCAACAGCTCTGCTTACCAAGGGCAAGATTGAAATGAAACATGTGTCTGCAATGGAAAAGTAAGAACCTGCAATATGTTCTTTGAGGGAAGCCACTCAATGTTAGTCTTTCACAAGCACAGCAATAATAATGAATGTATAATTATAATCTGTTAGTGCTGGGAACAATCCTGAAGTGTTCAACTTGATTTTGCTTTAGCCTAGGAGAAAAGTTAACCTTTCTGTAAGTGGGAATGGGTATAAGATAAAGTTTTAGCGAAGTACCAGAATAGCAAATGTATTGCTGACCATCACAGAGACAGGTTGTGTAAATAACCTCTTCGGAGACCTGAAGACATTGTTGCAGTTTTCAGCTTCTCTGGTGTGGGGACACTGGTGTTGTGGAGGTGTAGGACAGATTCTGGATCAACTAATGAATGACTACATGGAAAACTCTTGGATTCTGGTGTTTTGAAGAGGAATCCTGGTCCTTGTCATTCCGGGAATGATTTTCTTTGTTTTATTGAGCGAAGCTGTGTGTCCATTCCTGTGCTCCCCTCCTATGAACTATTTTATCCCATTCTCTTCTTGGCTAAATAATTAATAAGTCTGACCAAAAGCTGAACCCCAGGAAGCAGCCTCCTAAAAGTCCGATCTCTCCCCTGGGTACTTTTGGGAATAGTGTGGGAGAGACACTACTGGCTTTATGGGAACTGATTATGATGCTGCCTGGGAGGTGGCCCTGGTCTTCTCTCCTTTCTCTTTGAGCCAACATGCAGCTATTGATTTATGTGTTGCCTTTGCATTAGATACTGTATTCTTTTGTTTTGGGGGTAGGTACAAGGAAGGTCTGAGCAACACAAAGGAGATCCTGACGGAGCTGAGCCTGTTTCCCTCTGAGGAGGACTGTATTGCTGTTCAGCACGTGTGCACCATCGTGTCCTTCCGCTCGGCCAACCTGTGTGCTGCTGCCCTGGCCGCCATCCTGAGCCGCATGAGGGAGAACAAAAAGCTGCTACGGATGCGAACCACGGTCGGGATTGATGGGGGACTCTACAAAACCCACCCCCAGTGAGTAGCCAAAGGGGGGTTGGTAATTGCTGGCCACATGTTCACATTGCAAAGAGTCTCCACCTGCATGCATGTGTGGCTTTTGAGAGAACTACTGGTTTTGCTGCAGGTTTGGGGTGAGGTCTGACTGGCTTAGTTATTGCAAAGCTCCTGAGAGCTTTGGAATTTGGAGTGGGGTGGGAAAAACATAACACTTGGAATAATGGCGTCTGGGGAAGTGCAATTGGTTTCTCAAGTGACTCCTGGGCCTCCAGAGCACTTGCAGTTGTGGGTTTTTAATTTTCTTTTGGGTTTTTAATTTCTGAATTTCTAGCTAATTTCTAACTAATTTCTTAATTTCTTCTTCTAACACTGTGGGTTTTTAATTTTCTTTTTTTCTCCCCGCACTACCTCCTTGTTTTTGAACCTGTGCTTTCCCAAACTGGAAACTTGCTCAAATATTTCTCCCAAACTGGATGGAGGTCTGATTCCAGATGGAGACTCACACCCTCTGTGACCGTTGCCTGGCTTCTCTCCAGTGTCCCTATCCCTTGGCACTGACACTTGTTGAGAGGTATCTTCACTTTCCTGTAAGTGTTCAGGTTCTGCAGAACAGCCAGAAATCAGGATTGTTGTTCCCACCTCCTGGAGCAGTTTCTGACCTCGTGCTCCTCTTGCCTGTGCTGCAGCCCTTGTGCTGGTGGGTGTGTATGTGTGTGCAGTAAACCGTGCCCGAGGTGCCTGTGAGGGTCTGAAGGGGCTCTCTGTCCCTGGCAGATACGCCAAGCGCCTGCACAAGGTGGTGAGGAGGCTGGTCCCGACCTGTGACGTGCGGTTCCTGCTGTCCACGAGCGGCAGCGGGAAGGGGGCTGCCATGGTCACGGCCGTGGCACGCAGACTGGCTGCCCAGCGCAGCCACATCGATGCCACCCTTGCCCCCTTCCTGCTGTCCCTGGGGACCCTCAGAGAAGTCAGGAACAAAATGAGGACTGAGCTGGAATACGGGCTGAAGCGAGAGACACAAGCCAATGCCACCGTGAAGATGCTGCCCACATACGTCTGTGGGACACCGGATGGGACAGGTGAAGTTATTTCCTGATCACCTGGAAGTGGTTCAGGAAAGTTTCTTGTCTGTTTTCTGGGGGAAGGGAATGTGACAATCTGGAAAATGGCAGGGGTATTTATGTTGTTAAACCAGAGTTTCCTGTGATGTTACCTGGCTGTTTTTTCAGCCCTGCGTGAGCACTCAATGGGATAAGTGCCATAGGGAGCAGTGTGGCTCTCTTTAACATGGATGTCTTGGGGATGTGTGGCAGAGTGTGCCATTCTGACTGGCAAACATGTTACAAGAAGCACCAGAATTAAATACCTTTCTTCCCCTGCAGAGAAAGGAAAGTTCCTTGCCCTTGATCTTGGTGGCACAAATTTCAGGGTTCTGCTGGTCAAAATCAAAAGCGGGAGAAGAAGATCAGTGCAAATGTACAACAAAATCTTTGCCATTCCTTTGGAGATCATGCAAGGGACAGGGGAAGAGGTAATCTCAAATGGATGTTTAACTGATCCAGCCAGGGCCCATTGTATGAGATTACTTGTGAGATTTACATGCTTTTGCTTTCCTTCCAGCTCTTTGACCATATTGTCCAGTGCATAGCAGACTTTCTGGAGTACATGGGGATTAAAGGTGCTCGGCTGCCCCTGGGCTTCACCTTCTCCTTCCCGTGCAGGCAAGCCAGCATTGACAAGGTGAGAGCTGCAGGACACTCAGCTCAGAAGGCAGCTGTGCAGCTGCCTGGTGAGTGACATCGATTTGGACAAGGGTGACTTGTTGGTTCAGAGACTAATTTGCTCTACTGTGCAAATTAGTTGTGTTTCGTGAGAAAGTTATCATCCTATGTGGATATGGGAGGTGGAACTTTACCTTCCTGTATCTGGTAAGAGGTGGATGTTACTTGCTTTTATTCTATAAAGATTAAGCCCTCATGACAGCGAAATGAACTGGATATTTTTAATAGCCCGGGAATCTCCTTATACTGTCTCAAGTCTTCAATGGCAGGAGATAACAGGTGCTTCCTTCTGATTGTTCAGCTGTAATCCCAGGGTGTTTCCAAACCATGGTGCACAGCTCTGACTGTACAGCTGCTGCACTACATTAGTTTCTTCTTGTTGAGTGTCAGTGGGCAGACTTGAATTGGCTTTTGGACAGATGTATCTTCATCTTTCCAGATCTGATGTAAAAAAGATTATTTTGATGCATTTCCAAAGGACAGGAGATGTTGTGCTTAGTTTCAGTCAAATATGTGGGATATTGGGGAAATCAAGGACTGCTATTTTACTAATGTTTTTATCTCCTGGTGGGTTTCACAGTATCTTCAAAGCCTGGAAGTTAGTTTGGTCTGTCTAAATTTTCAGCTCACAGTCGAGAGTACAGCAGTAGGACTTGGCCTTTTATGGAAACATGAATCTATATGCCTTCCAAACCTACAGCATAGTATTTAGGTCTTGACAAATAATTAGGAAACAAATTCCACAGTATTGGTGGCAAACTGAGCGAGAGAAAACTGTGTCAGGGTCTCACAATATGTAGCCCTGTGTGCTTGGTCTTTTACTGTTGCCAGAACTTGAGGGTGGTTTTTTTAAAAGCAGCTTTTTCTCCCAGTTGCCCTTTATTTTCTTTTTCTTATTTGGTCAGAGAGTCCAGAGCCAGTTTCCAAGTGGAAGGCTAATTACTTCATGTAACCTGGAAATCAACCTCTGTCAGACCAGGTTGCTGTTCAAAAAGAAACATGTTAGTGTTGCCCGGAGTTGGGGGATCACACCAAGTGTTCTTCAGTACATAGCCAAAAATTAACAGTAGATGTTCATTAATGTTTGATGGGTGCTTAATTATTTAGGGCAAAAGTATTTTTTGCAGTCTTTCCCTGACAGATAATACAATGGCTCTGTGCACAGGAGGAGAGATGAGGTTTTCCAAATGGAACTTAGAAGGCACTGAGTGCAGTGCCTTGATAAATAGCTGAGTAAACTGGAGTCACTGCCACCAACAGCTGAGTACCAAAGATACACATGCACACACTCTGCACTAGACACTCACAGTGACCTGTCCGGGAAAACACATTATTTAAAATAAAAAAAGAGGGTTGGGATTGGAGGCAAGAAGAGCCTGATGCTTGGAATGTACAGCTCTCTGTCATCACTTAGGATTTTCTTTCTGTTCTGTTTCAGGGAACACTTGTGGGATGGACAAAGGGATTCAAGGCAACAGACTGTGAGGGGGAAGATGTTGTTGATATGCTGAGAGAGGCCATCAGGAGAAGAAATGTGAGCTATTCTTTCCTGCTCTTTTTGGTGTATTTAATGCCCCCTCACTCTTCCTCTGGTATTCCACTACTGATTGTGACTTGTGTTTTAGGAGTTTGACTTGGACATTGTAGCAGTGGTGAATGACACCGTTGGGACCATGATGACGTGTGGATATGAGGATCCAAACTGTGAGATTGGCCTTATTGCAGGTACAGTGATGTTGAAGTGACCACCATGAGAGAAAAGCACATATGCAGGTGCTAGGCTTTGGAATCTGTAAACCAGCATCTTTTATTTGAGTTTAATACATGGTGTTACTGTCACTTGGGGTTCTTGGCAGATTTGTGTGGTATCCAGTAGGAGACATAACACCTGTAGCAGGTAGGATCTTGAATCTGTTGGACTTTTGGTCACATCTCTGATGGTGCCTAACAAGTGTATGCAGGGTAACAGAACGTGAGAACAGCAGATAGAGCATGAATTCTTGTTTTGACAAGTGTATTGATATTTACTGTGTAGCCAGGTCATAGACCTTGGAACAAGCAAATGTTCTTAAAAATCTGAATGAAGGCTTTTGAGGCTTTCTAGAAGATTCCCCCAATAAGTTCCTCCAAGTTTTGATCCAGAAATGCGTCTAAGCATAGAACCATAGAATGGCCTGGGTTCTTGGCAGGGCTTGCCCTTGGGAGCACACTGATGATAATGAGCAAGATGATTTGTGGTGCATTATGACCAGACTGGCAGCAATGACTGATCAGTGCTTCACTGCCAGAGCCATTTCTGACCTGCAACAAAGGGCCTTCACTCCTCTATGCTGTGGATTTTCTGTGCAAGGCCTGTCTTACTTGGTAACATTCTGTTGGGATAAATTACAGCACTCTTCCCATCACTGGCTAGCACTTGTTTCTGTAAGATAAAGGAGAAAATTTTGAAATTTGGGGTATGGCGCAGAGAACTTTAACATGACCACTGCAATCATCTTCCAGGAGTATCAGGTGCTGCTTCACTTTTCTGGCTGAGGCCTTGTCATTTCTGTCCTTCTAGGAACGGGCAGCAATGTGTGCTACATGGAGGACATGAAAAACATAGAAATAGTGGAAGGGAACGAAGGAAAAATGTGCATTAATACAGAATGGGGAGCGTTTGGTGACAACGGCTGCATTGACAACATCAGGACAAAATATGATAAAGAAGTAGATGAAGGCTCACTAAACCCAGGGAAACAGAGGTAAATGTGGTGGTCCTGATAACAAGACCCTGATGAAGTCAGCCTTCAAGAGACTGACTGGTTTTTAGAACACACTTAGTGAATGAATAATCAAAAAGGAAATGTTAATATTGCATGTCTTGTGCCGCGTGGTAAGTAACCTAAATATCCAGAAAAAAACAAAGAGGTACCTTGTTTCTGTTATCACTGCACTGTTCTCATCTTAGGGCAGTTACCAAACAGTGCAGCTTTTAAGATTTCCCTGCAAAGTCTAGGTCATGCTTTGTTCCTTCCCTTAGGGTGATTTTTCAAAGGTAAAATACAACTCAAGCAAGAGGATAAACTGAACTTGACTATTCTTTGTTCAGTAAAGACAGTATCGATCAGGTGTGACTCACTGGGGAATGTGTGGGGAGACAGGGAAGTGTTTCACCTCAGTGTGGGCTCTGCCTTTAATAACACTATGTTCTGTTTATTATTGCAAGGGATTTTTTTCTATTTCTGTTACCATTTGGCTTAGGTAAATATATTGTAATTAGTGTTTGCACTTGAAGTCACTGCAACAGAGTTTTGCTGATTGAAAGATGGATTTCAATGGCTATTGTTCTGCAAACTTGGGCTGCTTTTTTGGGAATTCATAGGGCGTGTACATACCACTCATGCTGAACAAAGCTAACATGTCATCTCTTTAAATGCACCTTTTTCCTTTTATAACTTAACAGGTATGAAAAAATGACCAGTGGAATGTACCTAGGTGAAATAGTAAGGCAAATTTTGATTGACTTAACCAAACAAGGGCTGCTGTTCAGAGGACACATTTCGGAGTCGCTCATGAAAAGAGGCATATTTGAAACAAAGTTCCTGTCTCAGATCGAGAGGTAAAGTTGTTATATTTGCATGGTTTAAATCCTTAAGGCTTTTTGGGACCCCTAGAAAACAAGTGTTTGGAGCCCTTTCCTTCAAGAAGTTAATTACCATTTTCTTCTTTGCATACCTCCCTCCTTCCCATCCCCACAATAAAAACCAAAAATGAAGAACTGAGGGAGTTCCAGAATTTTTCTGTGATTACATGAATTATCATTTCCCGTTCACACAAATGGGTTACCTTGGGTGTGATTATACTTGGAGTGTTTCTTGTGGGACTTAAAACAGTAGTTATCAAAGAAAGTAAAAAGTCAGTGATAGATGAATACATGCTTGCCTACATATCTGTGCATGTTTGCAGTGGTCTTCAGGCCATTTGAAACCCTTTCTGCTGTGGAAAGCCTTGAAAGTAGTGTCTCAGCCTTGATCTCAAAAATAACACAGTCGGGTGGCTGATCTGGCTCAGCTCCCTCATGACTTTGGGAGTTAGATGAATTACTGTGTTTGCCTCCTGGAAATACAGTCTGACATGGCAAAGGGCATGGCAGGAGCAGTTTTCAGTCTGAATTGAGGCTTTCCCTAATGGCTTGCTGCTCCGTGTGCTTCCCTCTGCGCAGTGACCGGCTCGCCCTCCTCCAGGTGCGGCGAATCCTGCAGCAGCTGGGCCTGGACAGCACGTGTGAGGACAGCATCATCGTGAAGGAGGTGTGTGGAGTTGTGTCACAAAGAGCTGCCCGGCTCTGTGGGGCAGGGCTGGCTGCCATTGTGGAGAAGAAGAGGGAGAACCGAGGTGTGGAGCGCTTGCAAATCACCGTTGGAGTAGACGGGACTTTGTACAAGCTCCATCCACAGTGAGTGCCTTGGTACCACTGCCCTTTGCTGTTTGCTCATTTTCATGTGGAAACATCCCCAGCTGTACCAGCTTTCTACTGACATAGGTAAAAAGTATGAGAAGGGATCATCTAACACGTTTCCCTGCATCCTGTCCTATCCCTTGCCTAGCTAAAGGATCAAAAATTGCAAAGTCAAGTCCAGTTACCACTGGGAGGCTCTTTTCTCCAGGGTGTTGAGTGAACTTACTCTTCTGATATTTATTTACCAGTGTTTGAGTGGATTTCAGACCAGAAAGCAGCTGCTAAAATGCTCTGTTCTTCTCTCCCTTTCCTTTCAGTTTTTCCAGGGTCCTGCAGGAAACAGTGAAGGAACTGGCACCTCAGTGTGATGTGACCTTCATGCTCTCTGAAGATGGCAGTGGGAAGGGAGCTGCCCTCATCACTGCAGTGGCAAAACGGTTGCATAATGTTGGGCAGAAGTAGAAATGAGGGGCCGAGTCATTCCAGGGCTGTCAGGCGTGTGCATAGGGATCTGCTGAGTGGTGATTCCAGATAGCTGTGCCAGGCACCAGCACACAGGTACCCGTTTTCAGGGAGCAGCTGCTTTTGACCGACCAGGACTGTGGATTTTTGTCCTTTGCTAGCTTGGATCAGGTGTTTCTGCTCCCCACTGGCATTATTCTTGGCACACCACAGTCTCCTGGGTTCTGTGCTTCCTGCAGTGCATCTGTAATGCACATGGGAGAAAACAAACAAACGCAATCCACCCCAAATGTGTCTTTTTACAATGTCTTAGTTAAGCTACTGCACCACAACCGGGTTTATCACCAATTTCTTAGGATTTGTGTGCTTTAGTTTTGGCTTGGCCTGGCTCAAGGAATGTTGAGATCCTGATGTTGCATCTATCTAGTGGACATATTTGTTCAACGCTTCACAGGTTTTTACAATAAAATTGAAGGTAAAATAAATCAATGGACTTTGGTCAGTGATGCTCCCCCTGCCACTACTCTGGTTGCAAGTGTGTTGGAATGTAATACTTCCTGAGTACAGAGGCATGTTTAATAGATGAATGTAAAGATAAAAATATGATTCCACAGAATATCAGTTTGTGTCAAAATATGTTAGTGCATTTGAGTGCACATAAAGCTAAACCAGCGCTGGGTGGATTCTGACTGTGACTGACTCCTTTGATACCGGAGGAAAGAGAGAATGTAGAAACAAGCAGCTACAGAGTCTGCTATGTCTATGTCAGGGTACATAGAGAGTATCAAACAGGCCACCAAAATAGCTGTGTAGAGAGAAACAAAAATCACCTGAATTTCTGAAATTCTTCTCTTTATTCTCCCTCTGTTATCTCCTTGCCTGTTCCTGAGAGAATTGTTTCCATTGTGTGGAAAGGAGTTTATCCCTGATTTTCATTTTCTGTTGCCTCCTGCTCTGCCTGTGTGTAGTCTGTTTGTAAATAAATCTGGGGTGCCGTGAGTCTCTGTCTAGTGCCTCTTCTGAGTTGTGGGAAGAACATGCAGGCAAGTGGGAGCTTTCTTAGAACATAAATCTTTAAACCTAAACCTTTCTTTAAACCTAAATGTCTAGCAGTGCTCAGCAGCACTGCAGTTATTGTGAAGGTGGTTTGTGGATAGAGCCCATGGCCTTGTGTGACCAAATGTCCCTCACCTGATTTACCCAGAACAAACCAAAGCAATCATATGGCACAGAGAGGCAGGAAATCTGCATCCTGCCTAGCCCTTGTTCTCAAGTATTCCTCTATCTCCCTTAATCCTCTCTTCTTGGATATTTGCTTCCTTCCAGGCTGGCAGCAGAAAGTGGGGCCGAGAAATGTGCTTTAAGCCTAGTTAGGTCAAAAGTAACCATCGTGCAGGGGGGGATCAGCAGTTGGGTTTATGTAATAATCTGTAACCAGGCCGCCGCTGGGTTTAAATTTAGCAATCACAGATTCAAAATTGGAAGCTACAGACCCTTCCTGTTTTGTAGTTTTTCAAAAAAATCCCCAATGTCTCAGCAGCTGTGTCTGTGTTGGAGTTACTGGATGGGTGAAAAATAATACTTGGAAATAGTTTTCACTTCTGAAGGTGTGGTGCTGAGCTCACTGTACTAAGCAGTTGGGAAGAGGCAAGTTGTGAACTCATATTACATTTAATGTTTTTCTCCTTTTGTCAAGAAACTTAGTGTTTTACTTTTTCTTTATATTTCAGAATCCACAGAGCCCCAGGAACCAAAGCTTCCTGTGTAGTAAGGGCAGTTATTTGGAATGGAAGTTTGTTCCTGGTGATGAACAGGTTAAATTTGGAGGGGCTGGGTATAGAAGCAAAAAAAAAATCAGGTATGGAGGCAATGTGGGGCCTAGAACAGCTCTTCTGCATTGACTGTTTCTCCCTTCAGCACCTGAAATCTTGTACTATCTGGGTGGGTTTGGACCCTTTTGGGGGAGTGAATTGTGCTAATCTGCAAAAGTGCATCTGTGGACGTTCATCCCTGTATGTCTGGAAGGAGGGGTTGCAGAGTTGCCCCAGAATAGCCACGTGAGTATGGTGCAAGAGTTCCTTTTGTACTCTTATTCCAAAGCCTGTTCTACACAATTGGAATGCAAATCAGTAACAAAAGAAGGCAAACCCCTCGCATTTAGAAAGGAGTCCTGTATTGCTTTGATTTTTCTTTTTAATCTCTTTGGGAAATAAAATAGTCTCACGGGGCAGTTTACACCTCAGCTGCAGCTGTTCCTTTCCTGCAGTAGATTCAGCCCACACAATAATATTTTTTTGCATGTGCAGTGTTTTGGGTTTTTTTCCCAGTGAGGCTGTGGGTGTTGTGGAATCTGATCACATGAACCTGGAAGTGCTCACAGTGTGCTCAGTGCCCGACAGCTGTTCTGAGGTCCCCGAGGCCCAGGACACGCATGCTCCTGCTTTTCCTGCAGGCAGCTGACTTGCTCTGGAGCCAGGCAGCTCCCACACATCTGCTGGGCAGGGACATGACACCTGAGCTGGAGAGGCAGCTGCTTTCAGAAAGGGAAACGAGCAAAGGTTCGCTGGGCAACCCTGGAGAAGGGCAGGATTGGCTCCTGTGGGATTTTACCAGGGATACACACTTCACTTGCAGTTTCCCAGGGATCCCATAGACACACCGATGCTTTGGCTGTCCCTAAACCAGAACATTCTCCAACTGGATAACGATGCAGCATCATGTTCCTGATTCTGTCGACATGTGGAAACTCAGACTGTTGCAAACTTGCCACCTCCCTTGTGTAGATGTTAAACTGCTGAAGCAAAACCCTTCTCTGCACATCATATGTGGTGATTCAGTTTAAAGCTCTTGCTTAAAATAAAAGTAGAGGCCTTCTATTAAATCAGCCTATCATACACTGAAAAATGTGGTGCAATTCATCACATGACATTGTTAGTCAATTTAAAATAAAATGAGATTCTTTTTTTTCTGCTTTTTCTTTTCTATTGCTTTTTGGATAGCTTTGTGATGCTTCATTTCTGCCTGTTTTCCCTCCAGTCAATACATTTAGTGCTCAAATTTATTGATTTTGTTTTGATGCTTCTTTAAGACATGAACATCTTCTTTTCAGATCTAGATCATGCTTTTGATTTGGAAAGTTGAAAGATCTTTAAATCACAGGTGTGACAGAAGTATTACTGGGTGGAGGAACTAAGGTTTGTGCTTTTCAGAAGCTCTTAGCAGATAGTTGCAGTTACCCTTTCATCTGTGGGGGAAAGAGGGTCATAAACATGTTGGTTTGCCTGCTAGAGACACATTTGGGTGGCTGTAGATTTGGACAGCGCTGGCGCTTGACTTGTAATCCAGGGAAAATGCAGTAGCAGCTTGGTGGTGACGTGTTCCCGTTTTCACTCTGACAAAGTTCAAAAGTAAGTGTAGGATCATGTGTAAATCCTTCAGAAATCCTGATTAGCGTGATCTCCTTTCTTGGGCAGTCAATATTATATAGGATTAGCAGATTAGTGTAAAGGAGTTTGAGCCTGAAATGTAGGTAATACCAAAATGAAAGTATTGCTTCTTTGATCTTTCTTAATTTGTTTCTTTGCATTTGGTGAAGTGAGCTGGCTTTGGTTTGGGGGTCCCAGATACAAGGTCACCGTAGGAACAGGTGGAGAGGGAGTGAGGCAGGGACAGGAGGAGACTCGGTGAATGTTGTCCTGCTCCAGGTAAGCTTCCAGTTTCTTTAGAAAGGAATTCCACTGCCTTGAACTGTCACTGGGAGCTTATACCGAGCATTTCTCAGGCTTGTCAAGTCTGTAGCTTGTCAAGTGATATATATATATATATATATATATGTGTGTGTGTGTGTGTGTGTGTGTAAAAAAATAATCATAATAAAAATACCTATTTCTGTACGTGAGTATGGGTGGCCTGTTGGGGTGGGAGTGGGAAGGGAAATAAGGTAGATACCTGCTTTGTCCAAGCACTGCATCCACTCTGTAAAGCTGATGTGTAAAGCAAGATAGGAAACCACCAGAAGTTTAATTAATGTTTTCCTTTCTCTCATTGATACTATCACCTTGCAGGTGCACACTTGAAGGTGCTGTAAACGTGATGGGTCATGTCTGTCTGAGAGGGGAATGCTGAAATAATTTGGATCTTGTTGTGTGCTTTTTTTAATGCCCTCCCCTCCCCAGCCTTACCCTTCGTCTGCACTCTGTGTCCCAGGGCCTCGCGCAGCCCCGGCACTCCCAGAGTTAGTAAAAGCTGTGTTCTGTGGAGAGAGAACAGATAGAAACCCGGGAAACACAGGTTCCTCCAGAAAACTCTCTCCACTGGCACAAGGAATTGGCTACAGGAAAATGGACAAAGGGCTCCATGTGGGAGGATTCCTGTGCACAAGTTGAAGAACCAAATGCTGGGGAATCTCAGCAAGCAGGAGCTTGCTGGAAGGAGTGGAAGAAGGTCCTTGCACCCTTGATCTTTCCTGACTGATCATAAAAAAAACCCCAACCAAACTCAAAACAACCCAACCCCCCAAAAAACCCCAAATTCTTATTTTTATCTAGAAAAGCCTGAGTTAAAACCAGGTGAAAACCAAAGTGATAAAAAAAAAAAGAGAAGTGATGGGAGACTGAGTCTGTTTCACTACCACTATATTTTATTTTCTTTCTTTTGCTGGGAGGGATAAAGGCTGTTTGGAGAAGAGGGGAGAGATGTGTGAATAGTCAACAGTGAAAGCTTGTCCATAAATTCATTACTGCATATCAGAACAACTATAAAGTAACTCTTAACAGTGGAGAAAAGGGTTGACAGCAATGCCAGGTGTGATACCTTAGGAGCCATTAATTACAAGGACTATTAAACGATGTTCACTGAGTTAACTGCTGCATTTTTTTAATTGTGCTTTGGGCAGGACAGAACGGGAGGGAGGCAATGGGGTTGCAACCTTATTGGTATCCATTTTCTTTGGACTTGGAGGTGAGAGGTAGCTCCCAGCCCCAGGCATTGCAGAAATGCTGGGGTTCTGTTCTCAAACCCACTGGTGTTATCAATTCAATTTGCTTTGCTGAGGTCTGTTTTTGTTGCTCTCAGTTTGCTGCTTGGATGTCCAACTTGCCAAAGATTTCTGCCCCTGGGAAGCCCCTGTTCCTGTAGGGCTGCCTTGGCCATCTGTGTAGCTGTGGGACTGGGACTGCTGCCTGCCAGGCTACTGCAGAGGACTGTCCTCATCCTCGTCCTCATCCTTGCAGGCTGTGTCTGCTCCCAGGAGCTAAAAAAAGGCTGTTCTGTGTTGCCACAGGGAGTCAGAGCAGGAAAAGGCGGAGGGGGTGAGACCCTAGGGCTGAGTTTAGCACAGGCGTTCCCCTCAGTGCGAGGGAAGGCACCTTCTGGGATGAGCCGAGGTCCTGGGGCAGCAGCCGTCCCTGGATGCACAAATAAAGCATGACTGGGATGCCGAGGGCGGGAATTGGGATGTAAGTGGTTAATGGAGCCGACTGGCTGGTGATGGACAACTTGGTCGTGGAGGGGAGCTCTCTGCAGGAGGAGAAAATGGATGTCGGAAAGGCATGGAGGGAAGGTCTGTGAGGGTCCGAGCAGGTAAACGGGGAAGGTGCTTTCCCAGCAGGCACGTCCTGAACACTTCAAAGCGGAAAGTTACGGACGCTGATTTGGGAGCAACAGCTGATTCTGGAAACAAATGCGATAAATACTGGCATGAGAAAAAAAAACCAACAAAACAAAAAAACAAGTTGAAATGCCTGAAGGGCACATCTGCTGCGGCCAGCGATTCTGCAGGAAATGCACTGAAACCAGGGAGAGGCGAGGAAACTGGACATA